CCTCCACGTCGCTAAAGTAAACAGAACAGATCTTGTCGCTTGTCGCTAATAAAGTTTGCACAGCGTTGACATGTGCTTCATGTTATACAAACAGCGAAGCCCGCAGGAACGAAAGTAGGTAAATCTCATAGACAGTTAATAGCGATGTTTACGAGTATTTACTTTTACTTCTAAACTATTTACTTATTTGTTGTGCGACAAATCACCAAAGGCAAAAACGATTGATGATCCTATCATGCTTCCTTAAGATATTTATCTTTCTGTGTTTGCAAATACTCAACAGCTAAACAACTTCTTTAGAATTGAAAGGCCGCCTTTGTAGATAAAATTACAAATTTAATAAGCGCGCTTTTGGATAACAACGAGCTCTGTTATGTCAACTAATTATTATTCTAACGTCCATTATGGAAAATCATCAATAGATTTAATCGGCGCTTTTTTATTTTTCGCTGCTATCTGCGACATTAGCGGTTTCCAGTTTCAATGAAAATAACTCCACCAAATGTTTCCGGATCTCTTGCATTTTGTTCTTAATAAAAAACCCATTTTTTAGTAAATGTTTAGAATTTCTTAGTAAGCTAAGATTTGGAAAAACATATTACTTGGAACTATCAGCATTTCTGTGGTAGGTATTCTGGATTTTAACTTAAAACATTGATTTCGTATTTAATCAGTTAACAGTTTCCATTCCCCATCTATATCCTCTAAATAACAAATTCAAGATAATTTTGGAATTCAGATTTCTTTCAGAAATAAAATAAAATTATGTTGAGTATGGGCTCATTTCAGGTTTGGATAGTATTTTGAGAGTATTTTTCTAAATAATAGCTGAATTAAGGTGCGAGCGACTTCCGGGATAAGACAATGTCAATAAGCTTTGTTCCGCTTGTTACACATCAAAGTATTTGCCATTCTTTTGAGGTAAATGTCATATATTCTTGACGGAAAACACTTTTTACTGAACAGATTAGAGGTGGGAATGATCTTCTCAAGTTCTTTGCAGCAGTATCGTATTTCTTACGTGTCTGGATGTCACATCCCAATTTTGGGAAATATAGGAGGGATGCAATTATCAAAAATCTTCCAGCTTCCCAGACCCCAACAGCTTTGAAATATCCATACAATGCAGGGACACCATCGCTTACTTCTCTCATTTCGGGTTCAATTTCAATGCAAGATTCGCCATGGCAGCCTAATGTTTACTATCTAGGGTTGGGGATACGGTTCTTCTATTATCCATAACAGCATTAAAATCAAGATCCCCTCCTTCAGATCTATCTGTTATATGTTTGGTCGCATCTCGAAGTTCAGACAAAGACGCTCCATGTGCAACATTCTGGAACTCTTTTGTTAGGATATCAACAAATTGACGACCAACGGCACCATTTAGTAGGGTGTATTGTTTTCCTTTGAATCTTATTTTCTTCCACCCGCAGAATCGCCTAAACCTCTGACAAACAAGAATTTGAGCAAAAGCGGAAGTATTGTCACTTGTTGAGCCTGTTAATGGGTTTCAGTCAGTTGACAATGTAACTTGAGGATTTCCTTTGTTAGGGTGCGCACTCTTCGTATGCCTAAAAAGGCCTCTCCTTTTATATAATCCTTGTCAGATTGAAATTCATCTGCTTTATATTTCGGACTAACGTCGAGGTAAACTGACATTTGTTCTCGCGTGTATAAATTTACCACATGAAAATCCACAGCAATTACATGTTGATTTGTGTTTCTTGTTTATGATTACATTGTTGTTTCATTGTTTCCTAAAATCAAATTTAATTGTCTGGCCAGCAGGTATATTTCTCTACTTCATGTGTTTTCCCGTGTCTCAGCTCTTGAACATAGGTGAAGGTTTACCGTTTTCAAAATAATGTCATCAAATAAAGCAGTCCGTAGTGGCAATTTTATGGCACCCAGGGTCAGAGCACAGCTAGCAGTAGGTCCCCATGATCGTTCACTTGACTCCCCCAAGATTTTGTGCATTGATCTAACAATGTTCCTAAGGGCCAAAATTGAGGTCATAAACATGAACGTTTTTCGCAAATATCTCGCTCCCAATTGCTCGCAGGTGGAATGGGGTTATTATGAATATTGTTTTAATAGAAGTTTTTGTTGGGCCAACCGTTTGAGTCGTAGAATTCAGAATAGAGCCAAATTTAAAAAAAATGGATTATAAGCAATTTTTATAATAGCACGCGCACGTTTTGTTTTCTAATGGTGAATCCTTATCAAAAAGCAAAAAGAAGGTACGTGTGAGTTTTGCATTCGGTTGCATTTGTTCACAACTTAACGAAATACGTCATGTTCAAAACGACCTGCTTTTTCCTTACAAATGGCGATATTTCATCCCCTTTGAAACCGTCTTAAGAGCCTTCCCACGAATCTTATCAGAAATCCTCTTGAAATCTCCATCTCGTAGTAATCTTCATAGAGACCTCCTGCAAATTATTTAAAAGTTTCATTCTTCTTGGAGTGTTCGTAGAAATAATCTTATAGGCCACCTTAGAAAATGATACTGAAAATCTTTTGTTCTCTTTAGAAACCTTTCTTGCATCGCAAAAACTTTAAAGTCCCTTTCGAAATCCTTTTCGAATGCTTCCTGAAATTATTCTCCGAAAAAAATCTTAAAAGTGAAGATCTCCGTGGTAATTTCATTAGACAGCTTAAAAGCGTTTAGGTAAGTATTATTCCTGTGTTGTTCGAAGTCTTCCTGGAAATCTTTCGGCTTCCCTTCGGTTAATGTTCTCAGAAACAAAGGACGTTCTTAAAAACCTCTTTATAGACTATGTGTTCGTAACCTTGAAAACATTATCTAGGGTCTTCTTCGCAGTCTTTCTACGAAATTTTCCAAATTTTTGTGAATCATGTTATAAATGTGAAAAAGCTTATTGAGACATTCGTTGTGTCTCAATTCCTATTTCTTGTGAATCTATTAATTTTACTAGATACCTTTCTGAAAATTCCCGACATATACTCGTATATGTATAGACGCTCTTTTCAATTTTTTTAAATCCGTCGAGAAAGGTAATCTCTCATTTAAAATTTTACTCGTAGTGAAATTACGGGTCAACCTTGACCTTTTACAACGGATCGTAAAGGTATCGTCGATGTGAAAGATCTGGGATTCTTGGCTAACTTTTGTGACTCATCAATCTGGGGTAGATATCAGATGTTTTCAAGGGATTGCATGCCTAAAAACCCGCCGACTCGAAATAACCGCTAAGATTGGATTTTTGACGATTGATTGGGAAATGCAGGTTTGCTCCTGATGATAATTCTTTTGTTGGTCAGTACAATTCTGTCCCTAAAAGTGCATTTGTATACATACTCCAATTAAATCGATCTTGAGTAAAACTTGATTTAACGTTTAGGAAATCTCTTTTACACTAACTACCTTTTTTCCTTAGCGGCACTAATAATGAACTTTTATTATTAAAATTTACTAACAGTTTTCTTGGTTGCAATTTCATGTGACACAATTCACCTCCCATTTACTTTATTCCACTGCACCAATACGCAATAAAGTTTTTTCACGGAATTTGCTGATGCATGGTGGACGATGTTCTTTATTAACTGAAATAGGCACGATTGCGAGTTTTTTTAATTCCCACACTGGAATGCATAAATATTCGTTGGTTCTCCTAAACGCAATTTACGCAGAATATTACGGAATTATTATTCACTTTTTTATACTTGGACTTTTTCACCTCGTTTCCACTTGGACAAATGTTGATTTTCCAAAAGCCAATTGTCTAAAATGGACCACTAGGTCGGCTTGGACTTTACTTAAAACTGTTTTTTTAAGCTGGGTTAACCGGAACGCAAATATAACGGGACCTCGTACTAATCAGGGCGACGACTGCTCTTCTAATCGTTTACTTAATGGTGGAATAATAATGGCGGAGATGTTTTATTAATTTTCATTGGTTCTCTATGCTTTCCGGGCTGTTTACAGAAACTCTGAATCTGCAAATTCAGTTTATTTTTTACCAAGTTGTGCTTAATTTGCAACGTGGCATACGTAACTTAATACGACCTGTTTCCAGCTTGTAATTCAACACTAAAATCCGACAAGGAGGCGCCAGATACAATTTAGAACTATTACTTCATTGACAGACGTGAGAATAGGAAGAAAGCTCGCCGAAATAAAAATTTGACCTTAACATAAGTAATATTTGTTTGGTGGACTGTTCGTGAGACCTTGACTCTTTTTTAACATCCGCATAATTCAACGCAAAAAAATTGAAGCAAATAAATGCTCTCATTACAGTATATCTATAATTTTTGATGCGCAAAGAAAACCTAAAGGTTTTCGCTCTAATCGAGAAAAATATCAAAAAGTGGGCACATGTTCGAAAATCCATTATGACGGAAAAAGAACGATAAAGCCGTTATAGCAGTAGCGTATACGCTGACCCCTTGACCCAAAAACAATAATGAAAAATGTACCTCTATGGTGCTAACTTTTTCAAGCTACTAAATTAACTTAACCTATAGGTACCTACACCTTTCAACTCCATATATGGTTACACCTCAGGTGTAAATTAGTAACTTATATTTGGGTTTCATGTCAATTCCTGACATTCTTCAAACATTTTCCAATGCTCAGATTTTCTTTGAGTTTCTAATATTTTTGGGAACTTCTGGACATTTAATATGACGAATGTATTACCTACCATTTCAAAGTAGGTATCTATATAAATATTGTTTCCTCTTTGTTACTCGTGTGTTCCTTTTGCGGTCACACAAATCGTTTCTATCTATATTAATAATTGTAAATCTAATTTTGTTATAATATATTAATCAGTTATACCTATGTGCACTACAAAAAAATGTAATGTAATGTGAAAGTACCGCAAAAGTCATTGTTTTTAATATAACTATATCGTCTTTAATGCGCCAATGATAACGGATATAAATTCATAAAACAAATCAAAATATATACGTATGTTTTCAATAAGAACATGCAACTAAATAGTTTATAGAAAGTCGAAGTCACTTACACTGGGAATATTGTCGTTATTACACACACCTTCTGAGAGGAGTCGATCACGAATTTCCCATGCAAAAATAGAAGGGCACTCTCGTTTATAGTCGGCAATTTTGGAAACAACTGGCGCAGTTGCGACCCTCGGCTTCGAGCCCCCTATCGCTCTAGGTTTTATAGAACCCGTCTCATAATACCTTGGAAAACATCTTTAATTAAATAATTTTGATTTGATTGTAAGCCTTAATACCTTACCTTCCTAAAATTTTCGATACGCATCCGTTCGAAACTTGCAATATCCTCGAAATATCGCAAGGGCGAGCGCCGGAATGGGCCAACTCGACAATTTTTTGCCTGGTAGAATCGGGAAGAGGGCGCCCATTTACGTAAACGCCTCCCAATTGATTAATACCGCTATGACCAGCAGCGTGCGTAAAAATCGTGCTTTGTCCCATCGATGCGTGATGCATTAGGTCTTCCTCTGTAAAAGAAACTACTTTTAACGTTTTAGAAGTTTTCACTACTGAATAGTTTGTCTAATACCACAATAGGTAAGTACCTAATTTCTGGAGTAACTTTCTAACTTCTCGATCCACCCTCCCCTATCTAAAAGCAAACAGAGCTACCTCTCTGCTCTATTCACTAATGTATCCGTCAGATTATAACGCAGTTAAACCCCTTTTATCTACTTCCAGATCCTCTTGTGTATAAACCACTTTCTAAATCTGTATAGATTTATTGAGAGGTATGTACATACTAAACCTCCGTGCTTTTGCCAATTTTCGTTTGCGCCAAGAAAACGGAAATTAAAAATTAAAAGTTAGTAGCTTATTGGAGAACTTTATAGGGTAAGTTTGCACGTGCAAATGCACTTAGTAGTGGTTGCTTCCGCAATTCCCCGTGGAATCGGTAATTCACGGCGCCTCTATTTCCTCCATCTCGCTTTAAAGGTTAAAGAATATTCCCTTTACGTCTCGTTTCCTCCTGCATGTTCCTGAATTGGAACAGGGAAAATGGCGTCTCTTTGTTGACTCGGTAACCCGTGAGTTCGCGACACTCGCGTTCAAATTGCATTAGCCTTAACATTACATGGCGAATTGAGGACGTACCGAGACGTGAAAGCAAGTGGAAGGGGCTCTTTAAACTAGCAAGATGGTGACAACCTCGCAAAGTCGACCAGACATAAATTAATTGAGAAATGGAAATGAGAATAAAAAGTACATTCTCGTACACTTGAGGTAAAAGTTTTCCGTTTTAGATGCAATGGGAAATGAAATTATTTAAAACCTCTCGTTTCTCCAACTTATTATAAAATGATAATTTACTGCACTTATTAGAAAAGGGCGCGCAAAAGGAAATAAACGCGTTCTCTGCCTCTGTTTGTAAAATGCGTGAGCTCTATGCGAGGTAGGATTTAATCTCTATTCTATTTTATGCTTACTGAAGCAGAACCTTCCTTTGCTTTGAGTACGCTAAGCGTAGATTAATGCAGAATTTCAGGAGAATTCTTGTGATTTGTTACGGATTAATGTCTTATCGGAAAATGAGATATTATGTATCTAAATCTAAATACCTTTTAGTGTAGAGAGAATGCTTCGATTCGGTTTTATTACATACACAAGAAAAATCGATCCACTGCTCCAAAATACATTTTTGGGTAGGTAGGTATATCATTTTTCCTTTCAGTTTATTACTTCCATAGCAATTCCTCGGTCCTGGTGATGCAAGATTGACGCTATCTTGACCGAGTACCTACTTACCTCGCTGAATATGCACATAGTTAGATGTAGTTTGGTTTAATCAAAATTAATATCATACTAGTTTTCGTAACCTTAAGGTCTGTAGGGCTGAAGATGTGCTGATCAGCAGACGAGGGTGCAGGAGCGTGAACAGACGTTGTACAGACTTTCTGTAACGTTCAGAAATTGCAAGGATGCATATAGTTAGAATTCTCGAGTAGGTATTGTCAAGGTATGTTCTATAGCAGTGTTTCTCAACCGGTTGTGGTGCAGGGACCGGCATAGGATAAGTGTGTATATTTGAGGACCGGGGGGTCCGAAAAAAGAAGAGGGGAGGTCCACCCCCGGAAAATTTTTTACAAATTGGAGCTGGGAGACACGGTTTTCGCGTTCCCAATTTGTACAAAAGTCATTTTTCGTGGGTGGAAATGCGTTTATGAATAACACCATTTACCTACAAAGGTACCCCAATTACATATGAATTTGCCTACGTAAATGGTCTTATATATAAAGCGCATCTTCTACTAGCGGATAATTTGTACTTTGTGCGATGAGCCACGCCAACTTATTTGACCGCGATGTGTGGATTTTTCGCGGACCGGCAAAGATTCTTTGCGGACCGGTAGCGGTCCGCGGACCGGCGGTTGAGAAACACTGTTCTATAGGTAACTTTCAAGGAAATTTGGCTATTGTCCATAATTCTCACACGAAAATTCTTTTAAATGAAACTGGAAGAAGTTCCAACCATAACAAGATTTGAAACCTGTAGGTAACTAAGGGTCGAATGAATCCAAACCTCGTTCTTGTTGCAACTCTTGGTTGTACCGGATGAAAAAATTTTTTTTCACATTTTTAAAGAGAACCAGTTTATCATTTTCGTAAAAAAAACTCAGTTATTTCAAAAACAAAGATGGTGTGGGGCGTTCAATTGTTTTTGCAATAACCTGCTTTAACTTCTTATACCTACTATATGCCATCAAAAATGAGTTGCTGTCGTCACCTTTGGAATTTTTGTTTACATGGGAAATCGTACTTAACTTGAACTTCCAAAGGCGACTCGACAGCAACTCATTTTGGATCGCCCGTTATGCTGACGATATACTTATTTTGAGTGTTTTCAAAATGCGACCATCGCTGCCCGCATCTTCTATTTGCGCTATCCGAATCTTAGAGCCACAGACCATATCATCATCATTCAGTAAACTAACTATAATATACCCTCTATTATACCTATAATATTTAAGTGACGTTTAATCCCTTTGGAGCAACATTAATGATCTGATGATATATAATTTTTAATGATTTATATTTTTTAGACTCACAATTGCCTCTTTAACATCTTATTCATTTTGTAGCTAAATCTTTAGTAGTTTTAGGAAATTTACCGCGCGATCCTTGGCCTTTAAAGATCCATTAATATCATTTTCCCAATATTTGAGGTTAGGAACGAGATTTTGAAAAACGATTTTCACTGACTTCTTTATATGTTATTTTGCTACTTCTTCATGAAGAAAAAGTCATATCATTCCGTTTGATTTTTTTGACTTTTTTAGAATCTTGGGTCTTGGTGTCAAAACTAGCCCCCTGGCGCAGAAGGATTCAACTAAATTAACTATATTTGGTTCTTATTGCTCAAGGAATGCTCTTTTCAACGATACCAAATTTGTTAAAATTGGTCAAACCGTTAAGAGGTTAAAGCAGGTTAGTGCAAAAACAATTGAAGTTTTGAGTTTTGAAATAACTGAGTTTTTTTTACGAAAATGATAGATAAACCGGTTCTCTTTAAAAATGTAAAAAAAAATTGTTTAGTTTATTAAGCTTAATTTAAAGAAAATGCAATTTTACAATTTAAGATGGCAGTTACGCCCTCTGGTGGTCATACGACGAACGGTTCCAGAGATATGGTCGAGAAACATCAGTCTTATTAGGTCACCCGGTACAACTGCAACTTTAAGATACTCCCGAGATTCAGGGTGTACAATGTGTTTATATGGGTATATATTAGTGTTTGATGCGTAAGAGTTGAGCAATTTTGTTAACCTCTGCGGGTTGGAATAGGTACCTAATTATGGCTTTGGATTCATTTTCATATTTCTCCCAAATTTTGTCAACATCAGAACTTCTTTCGTACCATAGTCTTAGAATTGAAGGGTGTTCGCAAAATCGCGGAATAAATATTCCTACAGGTATTCCTAGGTGGGTAGGTACACAATGTGTTCTCTTTTGAGAGTATTTGTAGGTATTCTCTAACATTCTCAGTTTGGGACGCCGGAAGCATTGAAAGATTCAAAGAAGGGCATCATAAAACACCTGGGAATTGGGAATATAGGCGAATACCGCAAAACGAAAGTGCACAAATGCTTCGAAAATAATAAACGCAGTAACACAAACTACAATTCATCGAGAGAGATGTAATTATAATTACTTAAAATTGTTTGTAATTTCGCATGGATTCTAAGTTTGCCGTATTTTCTGATTTTAAGTTGCCGTAGGTACCTGTCTTATCTGGTAAGATCCGGTACGTATATCCTATCTTTGGTATTTTTCTGGTATTGAATACCACAGTTTTAAAAATCTTCTCGAATATTCCTCAAGAGTTCTTATATGATAATTATAGTACGTATAGATCAGGATCATTAGAAAAAAATTTGCTTATAATTAGGATACAATTCTCTTGCTGTAATATATCGTCACATATTACGTTCTTCTAATACAAATTGCACTTAAATTAGAAGGACAGTGAAGATGAAAGCGCTATGTTTTAGGATATCAGCTTCGTGTTTTGTTTTTCTAACGGGTGATCCAGATTGGGTTTTAGAATTTGAATTGCGCGCCATTTTCGTTATTTGCATGTTGGAGGTTTGCACTTTAAACATTTGGTATCTAAGCACATGGCAAATTCATCATGACGCCGTAGGTGCATCAACTCGTACAAATATATTGGATATACATGGAGCGATGAGGACCATTTTCATCCGAATGGGTATGTGAATCGCCAAAATTTTCGCATCTGGGGTAGTGAAAATCCACAAACTATTCAATTAGAACAAATGCATCCAAAAATGCACTGTGCATTGTAGGATGGCGGAGTGATTTGTCCGTACTTTTTTGAGCACAAAGTCGGTGTATGCTATCGAGAGATGCTAAACAACTTTTTCTTCCATGAAACCAATGATTTTAACTTAAATGACATGTGGTTTCAAGATCCAGGCACATGTGACAGCACGTGAAATAGCCGCTTTACTTCAAACCAAATTTCCTGGTCATTTTATCTCTCAGAGGGGCGACGAGGTCTTGCGATCTAACTAGACTTGTTTTCTCTGGGGTCATTTGAAGCGAACAGTGTTAATAACAAACTTGCTAGGAACCCATTCGGAACTAAAGGAGAAAATTTCGCTAGAGAATTGTATCAGGTCAGCGGAATCGTGGAGGACATTTGGACAACAACACAATATACAGTTCGCGTGTGTTTTGATGCTTCGAATTCTATTCTTATAAATTATTGTTTCAAATTTCGACCCCTCCAATGTACCTATATTTATTTAGGATCGATTTAACACCCCCTTAAACTTTAACGTTACGACAAGGCTAAATATCTAAGGTTTCAAGCTTAAAAGCTAAGGTTTTGCGGTGAATACATTTATACCTTGAACTTATGCTTTAATAACCTTCACGTTTCAAGTTATATGGTCTTTTAGGTTAAATCTACAGGTCCATCCGTCTGTACGAACCTACCTATTTCTGCCGTGTTGAACTACTTTTAGGGGAATTTTCCTAGCCCTGGCACTTTTTGCAATAGGTAGCCTACACCTTAAAGGTGTGTCAGGCGCCCATAAAATGTTGTTGTCTTTGGAGGGGGGGGGGGGGGGGTGGCACGAAATATTTCCCGCGATGCTGTTTTTGAAGGTAAAACAATTTGTCTCAGATTTTGCATACGCATGCCTCTATAGTGATTTCATGTTAAACTTTACAAAAGGGGGGAGGGGGAGGTAAACATACGTTCGACCCTTCTTGGTATTCTAATGAAAGGTTTCATTGAAAGGAATTGCGTTTTTTCAAACTATACCTGACTTAGTCCGCGATTCCCATTCCAGATCAGTGAGTGACGGGAGGCGGAAATTGGATTTATCTTTCATGGTATTCTAATTAAAGGTCTCAACGAAAGGAACTGTTTCCTACCGCCAGGGTGTAAACTACTTTCTTTACCTAATTTCAAACAAACTTATAAAAATTTGCTTTTCAGTAGTCAGAATGTTTAATGTGCATCCTTTTGAGTAGTGGTTTTTACTTTTTGTTGCTTTTTCTTTTCAGAGTAATGTTTTGAAAGTATACTATTATTTCACATTAGTTTTTTTTTGTATTATTTTTAATTATATTAATTATTGCGTATTTTGTTGTTACTTTCCTCAAGGGTTAGGTGGAAGAGCAGTTTTACTGAACTTCCCCTTGTGATTTGTTCTTGTATTATCGTTGTTTTTTTTTACGAGTTGTACTAAAGGTTGTTTTGCTGACAAGGTCAAATAAAGACATTTATTATTATTATTATTATTATTATTACCAACTACCGCCTGGCTCTATTACCCCTTATAAAAATTTAAGAGGGGGGGGGGCACTGGCTTTATTCTTCATGATACTCTAACGAAAGGTCTCGATGAAAGGAATTAATTTCTACCAACCCTACTCCTCCTCCTCCTCGACCTCTTATAGGTTACAACTCCTTACATCTGAAGATCGGATTATCGAAGAGTACTCACAAAAGGCGACTGGGACGTCTAGAGAAATACTCTAATTAAAGGTCTCAACGAAAGGAACTGTTTCCTACCAACTACCGCCTAGCTCCTTATCAAAATTGAAGGGATTGGGGCACTGGCTTTATTCTTCATGGTACTCTAATCAAAGGTCTCGATGAAAGGAATTAATTTCTACCAACCCCTCTCCTACTCCTCGACCTCTTATCGTCATTGGTTATAACTCCTTATATCTGAAGATCGAATTATCGGAGAAGGGTACTCAGACGACTGGGACGTCTGGAGAAATAGGTCCATTGGTGATGAGCGAATACCTCGAAAACGAAGTGTCGGAAGTGGGTACTCGCAAAGGGCGGAAAGATCGTCTAAGCGAGTAGATGCCTGTGTAAAAACTTAGAAATCGTGAAATTATGAGGATTTTCCGCGGATATGCGAGGAAATTTGTGGAAATCCTTGAAGAGATACCAGGAGAAACGAAACATTAGGATGATATTTAATATTTTTATTAAAGAAAGAATACAATTTTTTTCTTACTAACCTTTTTAAGAAATGTACGTATGTGCAAACAAATGAAAAATAAATAAATAAAACTCATTGCCATCTTTGACATTAGGAGAATCGTCCACCACAACCAATAACCAGGAAATTAGAACGGGTCGGTGGGAAGCGGCGGGCATCGACCTGCCCGTTATGCCCCGAAGACTGCTATCCAAGTCGCACCACTTATGTAAAACTCACTCACATAGATGGCACTGTAATCGGAAAAACGTGTACAATACTGTTAGATACAGGTGCAACGATGACGATCGTAAGACCTGACCTATTTCGAGAGAAAAAGCTACAATCGTTAAAACCGAAACTGAAGACTGCAACTGGTGATAAGGGTCTTGTGCTGGGAGACATAGCGGTCGATATTGGTATAGGATTCAAGATTCAAGTGTTGGATGAGGCGATTTTGGGAATGGACTACGCGTAATGAGTGTGAATGACGTCAGCCTGCCGGAGTGTTGCGAGAAAGTTGTGATGGCTCCTATGGATGGAAGTCTTCGGAAAAACTGCTTGGGGGTAATGGAACCCAGTTATATCAATGGGTACCTATAGGTTTTAATTAGCAAGGTGCAACTAAATGCGAAACAACTAATGCCTGTTCGGTTGATGAATTTGAAGTCATTCTCGACTAAGGCCCTTCAGATTGGGACGTGATGGCACTTTTAAGTGCCCAAAAAGGCTTCAAGCTATAATCACAACCTTATGCAAAAATTTGACAAGCCAAAAGGACCAAGCTAAAAGGTTAATTTGTCGCTACCAACACGTGTTTGTTTCAGAGAAAAGTCGGCCGAAGAAATATGGTACCTAACTCGTAAATACGAGAGATTCCCAACCTATTAAGTAACATCCAAGGAGACTACCATGGGCTAAACGCGACGAAGCTGAGAAGATCATCAGCAACATGGCTAGTCAATGAATAATTGAACCATCCAGCAGCCCTTGGACCTCACCTGTGGTAGTGAAAAAGCAAAGCCGGTGTTCAACTATTGAGCATTCGCAAGACGGAATGGTAGAATGCCTGAATGGGTTAGTGCTTATCAAAAGTTGTGACATTACCAAGTTGGCAATTTTAAAGATTGGATGTGGTGTTGATAAGTTGAACTGGCGCATCGTGCACAATATGCTGGAGGTGGAGTTTTAAGAAGAGAGCAGTGTAGCGAATACTCCAGAAATCCCAATAGATATCCGGACGGCAACCGGGCGCCATGAAAGATTAGTCATCGGCGATAAAGAACAAAGTGCGACGCGGATGTGAAGTAATCTTACCGAAAAATATGACGTGTTTGGTCGAGTACATTCTGAAGCATATTTTATCACGCGAGAACATTCTAGAGAGAATGTTTGCTATACAGGGTGTTTATTAAACATGCGGCAAAAATGTAGAGCGCTATTTCCTTGGACTATTCTAAGGATATTTTGTCCTTCGGTGATTTTTGATAGGGCGCTTTGATTTTATTTGAGAAATTGGATAATTTGCTGGGTGTAACGCAATCAGAAACAACCCTGGTGTTTTTGAAAGAGTTCGTAAGTCGATGAGGAGAAGATTGGATCTTGCATCCGAGCGGGGGGTTGTCATTTTGAACAGTTCATGTAGATTAAGAAACATTACATGTCTTTTTTTGGTAATAAATTGTTATTGTCGAAATTCTTTTTCGCTCCATATCTTCGAAACAAAGCACCCTATCAAAAATCATCGAATGACAAAATATCCAAGGAATAGCCCCGTCAATTTTTGCCGCATGTTTAATGAACACCCTGTATAAGCAAATCGAATTGTGTATCAAGCGGATATGCTTGAAGAAGGTGTAGTAGTAACACGAATTTTGACCGCGACCTATGGTAAGGTCAATTCTAAAAAAAAAAGGTTGTCTTGGAATTAGAAAACAACACCATCGGTGGATGGCTATTCAGTTGATAAACGAGGGCGGTAGGTAAACTTTCTCATGTCAAAAAATCAGGACAGTGCGAAAAAGTTGAACAGAATATTCAAAAGAATAATTTTTTTCCATTAGCTCACCTTAAATCTAGTGAAAATAGCTCTAACGAAAAAAAATGTAGGTACAATTGTGTTATGCTCTAAACATGATAAAATTTACCTTGAATCTGTACAACCTTTTTTCTTTTCAAAAATACTTGCAAAAATATACATGTGAAGTTATGAGCTCAATATCAGAACGACAAAAATAAGTAGCAGGTTAATTTTTCCAAGCACGCGTCATGGATATTCCTCATTGTTAATTATAAGAGCAATTTTCGACATACTACCTATACGCACGAGTACGCAAGTGGTGAGATTGTAAATCCTACTTTTATTATTATAAAATGTTATTAAATTCGGGGATGCAATATAAGCTATACTGAACAATAAATTCGGGAAGACGACGAGTACCACCACAGGTGCGGAACGCATATTGGAGTCAGCCACTGTGTAACACGATTGTCGCAAACCCTCAGATTTTGCACTTTTCTGCTCAACACCTACGCGAATAAATCTCGTTTCTTATTTTATATAACCCACTTGCGTTTTCTATAGACTTTCCGAGGATTATTTTAAGTACTTTTCCCATTTTACATCTAAAACTCTGTATTGTGAAACCTGTACGCTGCGACTCTACTTGTTGGATTACGGAATATTGACCACAAAAATATAATTAAAGCACCCCTTAACTCCGATAACTTGGGGGATTTTCAAAACCGCGTACGCGCCTAAAGCTCGTCCTCAATTATGATGACGTGGTCTGTATATTAACTTGATCATTAGTGCAAGGGAGAATGAGAAAAAACTTCAGTTAATTGCTGCTTGATTAAAGACCACAGCGTGTACTTTATTGAAAGGGTGCTGTTGTACAACGAGGCGATATTAGTTAAGGGGGCACAAATATCAAGTGATCTACATGCGATTTAAATTGCTTGGCGCTTTACTTTGGCCACCTCTCTAGTAAAAATGTTCGAAATATGCAAATTTTCTTGTTTCGATTAAACTTCGCGAAGAAAGAAATATGTACACAGTTATAATTTTAACATGATTTCATCAATAATGTTAATTTATGCACCCTTCCGTAATCATGTTGTAATTTAACTAAATTTATCTCTTTGCGAACGGTATATGGAATCCAGTTAGGGTTTTTTACGCACAATGACCAAGTGAAAACGAGATAGTTCAACCGCGATTTGGCTCCAATTTCCAAACACAAAAGACATGTCAATTACTCTAGTTTTCTGAATAAAAAACGAGCATTTGGAATAGAATTCAAAGGTCGTTAGTTGTTTCATTTCCACTAGTCTCACCTTTATGGGGCATCTTCCACAAAGCTTCGGCGCAGGAACTTTCCCGAAGCGAAAGCGTTTTCGCTGCCGTTAATACTGGTGAAAACCCGCCCGGTGTCGGGACGGGTCCGGATGTAGCTCCCAGCCTGACTTTTTAAAACGGCTCTGAAAAACAAAACAGAAAATTAACCGTTAATCAAACGCACGAAACTGTCAACAAATAGTCGGATTGATCTCGTATTACGACACTAATCAGATGGGGCTGCGTCATGGGCAAGAGTAATGTTTGGGCATTTAATTGTCTACACTAACTTCGAAACAGTTTATCGCAATCAGCGGTACATTCAAACAATAAGAAGCAACAGACATTGAATTTGTCTTCATTTACATTTGACGGTTGCCGACCACCCGATGAGAACAATGACCAAACTTGGCAGAGAATATTATGCAACTCATACCCGTATATCACGTCCCGTGGGATACTGTCAAATTTCTTTTTCGGAATTTCTTTATGTCTCTCTTGCAAATAAGTGAAATTTTAACGCTCATTCCATGTCACTTTATGTCACAGAGCTTCACAAAGTTATTGGCGGTTGTCGACATAGGTATTTTGGTTTGATATGAAACCGGAATGCTCTTCAGCAATAGCGAAATTAATTGCGAGGTAGATCCGTGTAATTATAAATTTATAACAAGCAGATCGGCATTCTTCAAAACAAAGGAGTAATTACTGCTAGCTTGGTAGGGCCGTTTGTGTAATGAAAATATATATGGGCATCATTTACGTTTTTACGTGCGTGGATTTGGCCGCGTTTATGCTCGATTATGAACGGAAATGCAGAATTTCGAGTCTGGGATTACAACTTCGTACAAAGAAATCTTCCGTTTTCATCCAAACTGCTCATATTTGCAATTCAAACAGAGATTCAGTTCAACAGAGCTGATTTATCCATAGGCAGAAAAAACCAGTCAATTGGAGAAAACCTAGGTAGATGCCTAGGTATATCTATATCTTCAAAAAGCTTTAGTTTGATGAATTACGCTTAGAAATTACAGGCAGACAATGATGAATTTCATTAAAACAAAAACCTCCGACCTTTTGATAACTAAATTTGTTATGTATGTCTGTCGGATAACCAATAATGAGACCCTTTGAGACGAAGTTTGGTATAGGTACAGCTTTTTTATAGATCAAGAAAGCTCCGGATCCCTTCAATGGTGTATTTTCGTCAGATTCTTTGCCTTCGAACTCTCCCAATCTTCTTTTTGGGTTCGTCAATTGTCTGCAAGTTCATCTACTCAAAATATTCAAATTTTTCAAAGCTTTCAAAATATTTCAAATTCAAGTTCAAAATTTTTCAATCCTTTCGAATTCTCCTAATTTTTCATTTCCGCTATTTTTTCAATTCTTTGTAATCTTCAACCTCCTATTCGTATTTTTCTGATCCTTGACTGTCCCCAGTTACTTAGAACGGCATTTTTTCGGAGTAGGTTCTTTCGATTCTTCTAGATTCGTTCGGTTTTGAATTTTTAAATTCATTAAATTCATCAGATATTTGCCACAGACACTAGAGGATCGCTTAAATGTACTATAGATACCAAAAGATCTGTAAGATAGTACAAGCATGTTACGACGCTTATTATTCAGAAAGTTTACGTTTGCGACACGAGCGAACTCGCGAGCGAGTCGAGCAAGTGATTCCGTATGAATAAGGGTTATTTGTGTTTTACATATTATGGCTTTATGGGTTATACGGTTATCATTTAGAATGCCTTCGATGGTTGCATGGATTGCGAAATCTGTGAATTTTTAAGATCTTTGAAAAGAGTAATTAATTTGCTGTAGATATGACATAAAATATGCGTATTGTTGATATACACAAAAATGGAGAAATTCGTGATTTAATATTTAGAAAACTTATGATATCTAGTATACCGGGTGCCATTTCACACAGAAAAGACCGACATCAACTTGTTCAATGTGTCTTTTTGAAGAATTACTTTTGGGGCGATACGATCTCGCCGTTTAAAATGCCCGGCAGACGGTACGATTTGTTGTACAACTTATCGTACGATAAGTCGTATCAAATACCTATCGTTTTAACTTGTCGTACGATGTAATGCCCTACAAATGTAAACGATAGTCGAACGACACAGCCACACACGATACGATTATATCGATCCAAGTCGTACGATAAGTTATACGACAAATCGTACCCTCGGTCGGGTGTTTAACAAAATATACACGGCGCCTCCAATCTCCAACCAAAAGTGAGTGATGAGGGAACCAAACCGAACATTTTTACTAAATAAACCAAATGTCCAAACTATTTAGTGGACAAAAGTCCTAAAATATGTATAGGTATATAAGAGTACCGTTCTGGCTCAAAGTAGGTTTCGTCAATTCCTTTTTTTTGTCGATTGCACTCCCGTTGGAGATATCGCAACTGAAATTGTGACCAATGAAACGTAAGTTCTTGTCGACGTCTACCACCACCCCTTTATGGAACTCCCGTTTTCAAGGTATTACAGATACTCCAGTTACACCGGACCGTCTTGTTTCCAACTATCATTTTTCCGCTTATCTTCCATCGATCTGAATCAAAACCTCCAAAAAGTTTCACCCACCAGGTGGTCCTGAACTGCGATGTCAATTTTAGATTCCGAGTAGGTACGTCCATATTGAACCCTTAATCTACCACTTTGTCGTTCTTTAAGGATGCGCCACTTTGGGTTTGGACATTTTTTACAATATCTAAAAAGAAGTAGCCGAAAACCTCGCTAATTCCATCTGTCTATGTTGTATAAACAATGTCATGTAGACGTTATTTCGTTCTAAACAAACGTAAATAGTGACCGGACACCCTGTATATGAAAATTAGTGTAACTGGGGGATTTTATTGCCTAACAGTTACCAACCAACATACGAGACTAGCTAAAAAGTAAACATTTCAATTATCAACTGATGTGGTTATATGAAAATTAAACTTTGTAACAAAACAAGAATCAGAAATAATGCACGTGTTTTGTCGCTCTTGAGGGATAACGGAGATACAAGTGTTATTTGAAAATCCTGAAGGAGTTTATTTGATGGCGGAAGTGGTGTTTCTTTAGCCCAGCTCATTTGCTTTATTTAAGGCGCAGTTTGTCGGTTTCGAAATAAAGGGCGCAGGAGTTAAGCAACGATGTGTCTGCATTCAGATAGAGTTAGACTCAGTGTGGGTAAACAAACCCGGTGTCTGTTCAGTGAAACCTTTCAAAAAGGTTTGTCTATCATTAAAAGTTAAAAGTTTCTAACGTCCGAACAGCCACCAAGAATTACTTATTTAATTTATTAAGATCAAGTTTAATAAAACAAAACTGAAGCTATCACTGTATTCTAAGATTTATTATTTTATTTTTGATCGCCGGTGAGCGGGGTAATATGTTCAAACAAGCTTTGTAAGCTTCTCTTAGTTTCAGGGATGTTATGTTTATATGTTTCTGAATAAATTGTTGTGATTGTCAATCATTTAATTGTGTGTTTACTCGAATCCTTTGTGCAAGGCAGATAGTGTACGAGGAGAGATTATAACAATTCTAAGTTTCAATTTGTTTTGAGCTAGCGCACAGGTGTTTTGTAGGTGGCACAGTGACTGTACACCATTGCACACAGCAATGTGTGAATTAATGTTTTATTAAATAAAAATAGACTTTTAATTTAGTTGGAAAAAATGTTAGTTTTAGTAAAAAAAATTTATATACCTACTTAATTGTTCTAACCTGTCTACTGTATGTTATTTATGGAAAAGTGATGGAAAACATAGGAGAGAGTTAAAAATGCCAGTTTTTACCTTTACTTTAATTTCCTGTTCTTAGAACAAAGACTGACCTTAAATATCATGTCGAAGAATCAATCTATTCCGCCCTCGGGACTGCTTGCACGCAATGACCTGGTTTACTGGAGAAGAAAATCTTTCTTACCCCGACTAAGTATGGGCACGAAATGACGCATGATCAGCTATTTTGAGGAGCTGGAGGAGAAGCGTGCACTTTGGTTAAACTGTTCAGTTTTGATGGTAACGGAGGCAGTATTTATCTAGCGCAAAATTCCTCTGGTTATCATCTCAAAAAGCTGTCCATATATAGATTCAGATATTGCAAGAAGTTCTGGAGGTGTTCACAAATTTTCCTAAATTTGTCTTGTTCTATTATTTTATAATAAATTTTTTACGTTTCTCTATTCAAAAATGTGTATAAAAACAGTGGATGCTATTAAAAATATACAGTGCGAGTATCTTTTCGTAAAGGTTTTTGAAAAAAATCCTCGAATACGTCAATTTTTATCCTAAATGAGACATATTCTGCTGTAATCGTCACTTAAGGATCGTCTGTTCTTTTTGAAATATGACGTAAGGGCTAATTTTCGAAATGGAAACCTATTTTTATCCTGAATTTGGACAGCATGAAAATTTAAGGCCAAATATACTAAAAAGTATGATACTGTTTTTGAAATATTCGAGATAATTGCTTTTAAAGTTTTAAAACCAATATCCTTATAACAATCAAGAGCTCAAAGTAGCTGTTAAAATGATGACTGCAGTTCTTCATCAGCTTATTTATCTGTTTCTAGTGTGTGGATTTTACGTAATTATGTAAATAATGGTTCGATATTTGATTGAAAAAGAGCGAAAGGGCTAGGATCAAGGTATGTGGCGACCGTACTAGAACACAACAAGCGGTTTGTGAGCAATTTAATAACAGGTATCCTGATAACTAGTCCATGTTTATCGAGGGTGCATTGGCAAGCGAAAAGTGTTTGGATTTCTTAAGAAACGATTTAATTCCTGCTCTTGCAGTACTATATCCAAACAATGAAGATCCAGGTCTGCCAATCCACACGTTATGGTTTCAGCAGGATGGTGCTCCGACACATTTTGCTGTTGTGTTACGAGTTATTTAAATGAAATTTTTCCTGGTAGATGGAGAGCTGTTCGGTGGCCTCCGAGATCACCTGACCCAACTCAGATGGATTTATTTTTATGGAGCATGGAGCTATCTAAAGAGTATTACATAAACCGCCCACAGACAGTAGAACAGCAAAAAATTCGCACAGAAATAAGATTCATTCCACCGGAAACTTTAGGTTACAGTGGGTAGGTACTACCTTGTATAAAATGGTAGTC